GTGTCTATGTGTCTATCTGTCTATCTGTCTGTCTATCTATCTATCTGTCTGTCTGTCTGTCTGTCTATCTGTCTGTCTATCTGTCTGTCTGTCTGTCTGTCTGTCTGTCTGTCTGTCTATCTATCTATCTATCTGTCTATCTATCTGTCTGTCTGTCTGTCTGTCTATCTATCTATCTATCTATCTATCTATCTAATCTTACATGTATAAAGTATAATTATATTTATTCTATATGGAACTGTAATCAAAAGCAAAGGGAATAGAAATGTTAAATGTAAAGACGTTTATTTTGGGCTTGTACAGTGTATCAGTGTAACCTGTATCTTCTAACTTTACACACTCACACAAACAGAAAGAGTTGATGTATTATTCATACACTTTCCACGAAACACTCACCCGCCGGTTGCGTTGTTTTTCTAACCTTCATCTGAATTAAACTCTATACAGTTTTAATAACACACATTGTTTGGTGAAGTCCACATGAATGTTTATGACTTGAGTTTATTGTGGTTAAACTAGTCTGGTTCTCCACCAGCTATAAGCTGCTTAAACCTGACATTAATATTGCATGGTGTCTGTCAAAGGGGACGTGAAGTGGGTCAACATCAGACAGATGAGCGCATCAGCCATACGCTGCTGTTTATATTGTTCATAACACGCAAATCCAGAGAACTAAAGCGCATCAAACTCAAACACACCCCCAATGACTGATATTGAGCTTTATCTATAATATCATCTCTTCCATTATCTAAGATTCAAATACAAATCAGTCACTTATTTGAATCATTTAATGTTTTGCAATTCAAAGCAGCAGCAGCGGCATGTTAAAAATCATAGCTGGGACATTTTACAGACCCGAAGCTTATGGAAGATTCCTGAACTGATCCGGTCCACACATATTTCATTATCTGGCATATTTCCCAGTCATGCATGCTCTCAAAAGTTCCCACTGTAATAAACATTAACAGGACATGCCTCCAGAAACAAGAGGAACAACACATTTGAAAATCGCAAGTATTCATATAACCAAAATGAGGAACATTTGGTTTAGTTTAAACAACAAGATCAAAAAAATGTCAGAAAATATATTATTTATTAGTTTTAGCATTATTTTATAATATAATTTATAATACTAAATTGTTATAATTGTAAAGCTAAATAATTTAATAACAAATTATAATATCTTTATAAAATAAAAATGATCAAAATACAATTACAAAAAAATTCTATTTTTATTTTATTATGGTTATTAATAAAAATATTACACCAATTTCCATTAAAACATTATTTTTGTCAGAACATATATTATTATTTGTATCAGTATTATATAATATTTATTTATAATTTATAATAGTAAATTGTTGTAAAATAATTACATCAAATTATAATATTTATATCAAATAAAAATACCAACATAAAATGATCAATTATTTAATTTTTTATTATGGTTACTAATAAAAAAGCATGCCAATTTTCTTTAAAAACATTTATCTTTGTCACAATATACAGTATATTATGTATTATGTCAGAACATACTGTATATTATTTATTGTTTATATTGTTGTTTTATAATATTTATAATTTATAAGACTAAATTGTTATAAAATAATTATATAATAAAATTATAATATTTATATAAAATAAAAGCATATAAATAAAATCATATAAAATAAAAAATATAAAATGTTTATTTTATTGTGGTTACTAATACTACTACACAAATATTTGTTACAAATTTTATTTTTGTCACAATATACATTATGTAAAATATGTATTATTTATTATTTGCATAATCACTTTATCATATTTAATTATAATTTATCATACTAAATTGTTATACAATTATTATATAATATAATACTTTTATCAAACAATAAATAATTACATTTGTATTTTATTATGGTTACTGATAAAAATATTACACCATTTTTGGTCAAAAACATAATTTTTATTAAGCAAATTCATTGACTGCCATCTGTCCACTAGAAGCAGTAAAATGAGGTTCATAGTTGGTCTCTACAAGTGCAGTGATATATACAGTAGCTGTGTTTTGCGTCATATCTGTTAATATAGCATGTACTGTATCATAACTGGAACGTTGTATTGACCAATCAGCATCCAGTCCTGGAACGGTCCGTTTATAGAGAATAATTAAAGCAGATGTAGAGTTGTTTCCCTGCAGCTGGTCTGGAATCAGTTGTACATGGTCATGTGCAGGAACTACATCTATCTATCTATCTATCTATCTATCTGTCTGTCTGTCTATCTATCTATCTATCTATCTAATCTTACATGTATAAAGTATAATTATATTTATTCTATATGGAACTGTAATCAAAAGCAAAGGGAATAGAAATGTTAAATGTAAAGACGTTTATTTTGGGCTTGTACAGTGTATCAGTGTAACCTGTATCTTCTAACTTTACACACTCACACAAACAGAAAGAGTTGATGTATTATTCATACACTTTCCACGAAACACTCACCCGCCGGTTGCGTTGTTTTTCTAACCTTCATCTGAATTAAACTCTATACAGTTTTAATAACACACATTGTTTGGTGAAGTCCACATGAATGTTTATGACTTGAGTTTATTGTGGTTAAACTAGTCTGGTTCTCCACCAGCTATAAGCTGCTTAAACCTGACATTAATATTGCATGGTGTCTGTCAAAGGGGACGTGAAGTGGGTCAACATCAGACAGATGAGCGCATCAGCCATACGCTGCTGTTTATATTGTTCATAACACGCAAATCCAGAGAACTAAAGCGCATCAAACTCAAACACACCCCCAATGACTGATATTGAGCTTTATCTATAATATCATCTCTTCCATTATCTAAGATTCAAATACAAATCAGTCACTTATTTGAATCATTTAATGTTTTGCAATTCAAAGCAGCAGCAGCGGCATGTTAAAAATCATAGCTGGGACATTTTACAGACCCGAAGCTTATGGAAGATTCCTGAACTGATCCGGTCCACACATATTTCATTATCTGGCATATTTCCCAGTCATGCATGCTCTCAAAAGTTCCCACTGTAATAAACATTAACAGGACATGCCTCCAGAAACAAGAGGAACAACACATTTGAAAATCGCAAGTATTCATATAACCAAAATGAGGAACATTTGGTTTAGTTTAAACAACAAGATCAAAAAAATGTCAGAAAATATATTATTTATTAGTTTTAGCATTATTTTATAATATAATTTATAATACTAAATTGTTATAATTGTAAAGCTAAATAATTTAATAACAAATTATAATATCTTTATAAAATAAAAATGATCAAAATACAATTACAAAAAAATTCTATTTTTATTTTATTATGGTTATTAATAAAAATATTACACCAATTTCCATTAAAACATTATTTTTGTCAGAACATATATTATTATTTGTATCAGTATTATATAATATTTATTTATAATTTATAATAGTAAATTGTTGTAAAATAATTACATCAAATTATAATATTTATATCAAATAAAAATACCAACATAAAATGATCAATTATTTAATTTTTTATTATGGTTACTAATAAAAAAGCATGCCAATTTTCTTTAAAAACATTTATCTTTGTCACAATATACAGTATATTATGTATTATGTCAGAACATACTGTATATTATTTATTGTTTATATAATATTTAATATATAATAATGTTGTTTCATAATATTTATAATTTATAAGACTAAATTGTTATAAAATAATTATATAATAAAATTATAATATTTATATAAAATAAAAGTATATAAATAAAATCATATAAAATAAAAAATATAAAATGTTTATTTTATTGTGGTTACTAATACTACTACACAAATATTTGTTACAAATTTTATTTTTGTCACAATATACATTATGTAAAATATGTATTATTTATTATTTGCATAATCACTTTATCATATTTAATTATAATTTATCATACTAAATTGTTATACAATTATTATATAATATAATACTTTTATCAAACAATAAATAATTACATTTGTATTTTATTATGGTTACTGATAAAAATATTACACCATTTTTGGTCAAAAACATAATTTTTATTAAGCAAATTCATTGACTGCCATCTGTCCACTAGAAGCAGTAAAATGAGGTTCATAGTTGGTCTCTACAAGTGCAGTGATATATACAGTAGCTGTGTTTTGCGTCATATCTGTTAATATAGCATGTACTGTATCATAACTGGAACGTTGTATTGACCAATCAGCATCCAGTCCTGGAACGGTCCGTTTATAGAGAATAATTAAAGCAGATGTAGAGTTGTTTCCCTGCAGCTGGTCTGGAATCAGTTGTACATGGTCATGTGCAGGAACTACAAATCAAGAGGAAAATGCATAAATATTCACAAGATAATAAATTCAGCTCTGACTCACATAATAACTGTCAATCATGTTGCATAAAGATGGTTAAGCCAGGTTAAACATCAAAGAGAATGCACTTGCGTGTTCAGGGTGTGTGTTCATGCTCATACTTGCATTTGTGTGTGTGTGTGTGTGTGTGTGTGTGTGAGAGAGAGAGTAAGTGTGTGTCTTAGGTTTCACCTGCTGCTGTCAGAGCTGGTGGGATTTCTAGATACTCCAGTGCCTGGTTCTTGTTTTTGTCAAATGTCATAAAAATTCCCTATAAAAAAACAGACAGATGGGTGAATAATCATAGAATCAAGTATTAATTTGATCCAAGATGCAGTCATGAATATTAATACATGCTTTGAAGCAATAATTACACAAGATTTTTTAACTCTACTTCTACGAATTGATGAGTAAAGAAAGTGCATTTTATGAAGGTACTGTAAATTAAATCATTATACACATACACATACAGTATATGTATATCACATCCACCTGCAGCTACTGAGATAAGACATCCGCTATGAAATACTAACATATATAGCGTATAACGCACAGCATACTATTCTTAGAAATAGATTCATATAATATAATATAATTTTTTCATGTTTCTGAAAGAAGCCTCTTCTGCTCATCAAGGCTGCATGTATTTGATTAAAAACACAGAAAAAAAAGTAATATTGTGAAATTTTATAACAATTTAAATTAACTGTTTTCTAGTGTAATATATTGTAAACTGTAATTTATTTCTGTGATCAAATCTGAATTTTCAGCATCATTCCTCCAGTCTTCAGTGTCACATGACCTTCAGAAATCATTCTAATATGCTGATTTGCTGCTCAAGAAAACCTTTTTAAAAATTTTAATGATTTTAAACTTTTTTTGTTAAAAAAATATCAGGAAAGAGATGTAAACATTCAAAATTGATAATAATGTTAGAAGATTCATCACACTAGAAATGCAGGATCGAGTTTTTCACATTAGTTTTATACAGCAGAATTTATGCCATCTATGCAAACAGAAAATCTGCATTCTGTGCAAAGTATTCATACTGCATACAGGAGAAATTGTAAGAGTAATATGCATGCAAGCCATGCATTCTTAAAGGGGTCATATGATGCGATTTCAATTGTTCCTTTCTCTTTGGAGTGTTACAAGCTCTTGGTGCATAAAGAAGATCTGTAAAGTTGCAAAGACTAAAGTCTCAAATCCAAAGAGATATTCTTTATAAAAGTTAAGAGTCAACCACGCCTACCTAAAACGGCTCGTTCTAACACGCCCCCACATATCTACCTCACTATGTGGGAAGATTTGCATAACGCCGCCCAAATGTTCACGCAAAGAAAGAAGGCATAACTTTTATTCTCGCTGTAGTATTGTTGTTGCAGCCGCCATGTCGTGAAGGTGCTGTGAGATTCGTTGTGAAAGCGAAACTACTTTGTTTGGCCTTCCAAAAGAGGACGATATCTGCTT